TTTGTTTGTCTTCTCCTCATGAGATGTAACAGGATTGCTGTACGTTTTCGTTGTTTCTGTCGGATTCTAGTCATGGTTAATGATCTGGGGCAAATAAAAGACTGTTCAATAAATTTGGATCTGTGATATATTGATCCTTCACGAATGGTCAAAGGCATAAAACCATGGTTTTCCTTTAACGCGCTGCTTCAGTATGGGCGGTAAAGCAGCGCGTTAATGTGGAGAAAAAACGCGTTGTCGCGCTAGGCCGCTCGCGCGCTGCGTCAGTGTGGGGGAGCCTTAACCCTCTGGATGCCGAGTTTTGTTTCTGACGCACATTTTCCTAAGATCGGAAAAGTGAAGATTGTGCGAGAATTGCGCTCGCTCGGCACTGGATCTACCTCTGGCTATAAAATTACGCAGAGGTGGGGAATATTAAATTTCCTATTTGATGGTGTAAAGTTAACTGCAAATATTGAACCGGTTTTAAGAAAATACACTTCTAAATGTTGCCCTAGAATTTTTTCTGCCTTGAAAAACAGAACAGGGAATTTCCCACCTTATTCAAAACTGTGAAGTGTATTTGTGTTGGTGATGTATTTTGAATTTTATTCGACTTCAAAGTGAGGGTTGTAGAGGAAGGACATATATGTTCCTCTGGCATGCAGGGGGTTAAGGCGCCGCGATTCGCTGTGCAGAGTTGCGTCCTTTGGGTACGCCATGCAGAAACCTATGGTTGGTTCCAATCCCGATTCGCCCCGGTTATGTTTCTAGGTTTGTCAGCACCATACCCGTGCTCGTGGGTTTCACCAAAGTGGTAAACGTCTGAGGCCTGCATCACTGCGGGCTTTCCTCCAACATTAAGCTGACACGCCGTGATATAACTGGAATACTGTTAAAAGCGGCGTTAAACACAACTCACACTCTTCGGTGACGGTAAATATCATTTATTTAAAGCATGGTGTTTGACTCTCCTCAGTGCCTTCCTCAGAGGATGAACCTCTCGGTCCTCCACAAAGCTGTCGTCGTCGTCGTGCTCCTAGACCCAGTAGTCACTGTCTTCGTCACTATGCAATAGTATCATATGTGTAAGGGACATGGGCACATGGACGAAAGAAGCAAGCTATATATCTCATATCCATAAACTTCATCTATTATGATTTATCAACATGTCCGTCATCTTACTAAACAGACAGCTATCATTTCAGCTTCAGAAAAGATATTTAAAAGATGCATATGATTGCAAATGGCGGCCATATAATCACCACCGACACTGCTGGTGAACAACGGCCAATTTCAGTGCTGATTTTCATACACTTTAAAATACAATAACTGTCTTCTTAAATACGTTGAATATACAGCCTAGTAAACATTTTAGAAGACCTTAAAACGATAATATTATTGTAATCGACGAAATGTAGAGCGATGGTGAGCAAGAGCGATAGTGAATCTGGTGAAAACAGAGGGGACGTTGGCAACGACAACGGTAACTACGTAGAACATGTCAAAACGAGGCGTCATCGTCCATTTCCGGCAACGTCAAACAGCCAGGTGTAGCTGCATGCCATGGGGCAAAACACTTGGCGACTTTCAGGTTTCAAACCGTTGCCTATATATTTAGACGTCGGATATAAGGTAGTTCAACACAAAGTAGTGCCTGGAAGTTGTCATTCTCTAAAGCTGTGATAATATTAGCGCCAAGAAGTAAAATAAAGGATTCATTTTCAGTCAGAAAGGTATCAATCTTCAATTTACTCCATCTTCTCTAACAGTAAATACTATCTATTTCAACATGGTATTTGACATAAGGGGGCGGTGAGGTGGCTTGGTGGTGAAAGCATTGGTTGAGATGCGAAGACCAAAGTTCCATTTCCTGAATACGCGTCAGTCCACGTGTGAAGCCCATGGGTTTTGTCCCCCGCCGCGATATGGTCGGACCACTGCTAGACGTGGCACAGAAACAAACTCACTTACCCAAGTTTTGACTTTTAGTCATGGACATCTATGTGAATTGGGACATTGCGATTTTCGTCTCTGAACATTCAAATGAAACTAGGCATGACCATATTAGCAGTCCATGTAGGTTTGGTTTAAGTTTCTCAAACATCTCTTTTTTATGGCTTGCTCAAACTGCATTGGTTGGTTGGTTGGTTGTTTGACGTCCCACTCAGCAATATCCCAGCTATATGACGGTGGTCTGTAAATAAATCTAGACCAGACAATCCAGTGGTTTATATCATGAGCGTCGATCTACGCAATTGGTATCGTTGGCATGCATCAACCAAGTCAGCAAGCCTGACCACCCGATCCCGTTAGTCGTCTCTTACGACAAGCTTTGTCGCTTTGTACGGCAAGCATGGGTTGCTGAAGACCTATTCTACCCCGGATCTTCACGGGTCAGTATATATTAGCGAGGGATTTCCTGCAGCTACCGGCAACCTTAAACGTATATCACATTGCTGAAGACCTATTCTACCCCGGATCTTCACGGGTCAAACTGCATTATCCATGGACGGACGTCTTTGGTATATCCCGCTAAGAAAAGAACTCGGCATCCAGAGGGTTAATGAGTACTCTAAGTGCCCCAGTATCATATACAGTATATACAAGGCACTAATTACTACGTCTATATGAGCACCAAACGAGGAGCACAACCCCACTTTAAGTGTTCGAATATTTATCTAATGACTCGGCGATATGAAAACAGCCACAAGCAGCGAAAGGAGATTACTCTCGATCCTTCACGTGTTTGTAGCTTATAGTGAAAAAGTGATAGTAATATATCCAGCGTTGCGACACCAGCTTCGTAGCTATGTTTCCACAAATGTAAAGATTTCAGGTTTCCATCGCGGATACAGCTTAGAAACTCTGGGACAGCAAATCAGAAGGATGAGGCAAACCTCCCCCTGAATATCTCCATTTGATAATGAGCTTACGCTGTGTTACAACGTCACCTGGTTGACATTAGATCCCAGGGCCCCGTTCCACAAAGCGATCTTAGTGCTACGATAGTAGTAAGTCAGTGTTAAAGAATGGGAGTTACGACCGACTTAGAGCTAAGATCACTTTGTGGAACGGGGCCCAGGCTTGTCGTAAGAGGCGACTAACCCTATCGGGTGGTCAGGCTCGCTTACTGGGTTGATGCATGCCATCCCCATTGTATCCCTTTTGCGTGGATCGATGCTCATGATATCTATCATTGGATTGTGTAGTCCAGACTCGATTATGTACAGGCCGCAGTCATATAGCTGGGATATTGCTCAGTGCGGCGTTAAACAACAAACACACAATAAAAAACAAACAAACGTTATTAGATCCAAGGAGGAAAGGAAAACAAACCCCTGCGTGTACCAGTCATCATTATTTATTTATATCAAGACACAGAATGGCGTGTGCCTGAAGAAATTATTTTTCTAAATCGGGGCCCAAAGTAAAGAGCACCTGCTATGAAGAGAAAGAATATAAGAAATGTCCTCTAAAGGGTATGTACGAGGGGTGTCCCATAAGTTTCCGGCCTCCATAAGTAATTTGCGATTTATATAAAAACTGTTGTACTGATTTTTCAACATAATCTCCCTTGACCTCAATGCAATTGTTCCACCGTTTCTCCAGCATATTCAACCCGTCAGAAAACCACTGTTTGTCACGTGACCCTAAACACTCCTCTACAGCAGTGATGACCTCCTCATTTGTCCCAAATCTTCGGCCCCTGAGTACAGCTTTGAGTTGAGGGAAGAGGAAGAAGTCAGAGAGGGCCAGATCTGGAGAATAGGCTGGGTGAGGCAGGATTTTGAAGCCACATTCATGTGCAGCGCTCACTGACACTTGGGCGGTGTGAACTGGTGCGTTGTCCTGGAGGAGCCAGACACCTCGGCTTAGTTTACCTCTGCGCTTTGCTTTGATTTCATTACGCAATCTGCGCAATTCATCTGCACGATGCACCGTTAATGGTGGAACCCTTCTGTAGATAATCTATCATGATTACGCCCGTGGAGTCCCAGAAAACGGAGGCCATGACCTTGCCACTGGACGATGTGCTTTTGAACTTTTTGGGTGTTGGTGACGTCACATGCTTCCATTGCATGCTCTGACTTTTTGTCTCTGGGTCAAATGATGAACCCAGGTTTCATCCCGAGTTACAATATGAGCCATGAAAGCACGTGGATCTCTCCGAAAATCTTCCAGAAGCTGTTGACTAATCATGACCCTCTGACGTTTTAGTTCTTCAGTCAACATTCTGGACACCCAACGGGCAGACACCTTGATCATGTGTAAATGTTCATGGATTATTCGTTCCACTGATGTTTTACCCATGTCATGTGCAGTAGCTAACTGTCTAACAGTTACTCGTCTGTCCTGCATTAGTGTAGAACAAGAACAGCTGCAACTTCATCTTGGGTAGTCACTTCACAAGGGCGAACAGACCGTGGTCCGTCTTCAGTGCTGCGTCTGCCCCTTGTAAATTCAGCACACCACTGTTTGACCGTACTATACGAAGGAGCATTGTCACCTAATGTTTGTACCATGTCATCATGAATTTGCTTTGGCGTTAACATTTTTAAATGTAGATACTTAATAACGACTCTAGATTCGGTCTTCTCCATTTTTTCCAAATGTGAGGGGGTCATGCTGTTTGATAGCAATTTATAGGAACTTGTAGCACGTGAGATTCATGTTTTGCATGTCATCCACGTGCAGAGATACTGTTCTAGCAACAGGTGCAGTTTGGTTGAGTTTGGGCTATCCGTTTATGTTGAGGCCGGAAACTTATGGGACACCCCTCGTAAATTATTTTTGACTGGATTGAAAGAGTGTGTCCAAACATAAAGCCGAAAGGATGCAGCCCAAAAGACCAAAATGGTTTATTAGACGGAAACCAAACCATAGATGCACAAGAATATTTTGTCGGTTGCTTCTTTACAGAGGAGACCATTATATGGTCTCTGTTTACAGTTCGTTTGAAATGTCTATTTTTATTAGCGGTATGCACTAATGGCACAGAGGAGAGTTGTAGCCCCTGTGGGAGTAAATATGGCCGAATGTTGACAAGTTTCAAAATATGGATTTCTAATAAGCGTATAGCGTACAGTGGATGACAAAGTTATGGGTCCAGACGCCGATCAAGCGAATATTTTGTTGCTGACATTTAAAACAAAGGTAAGCACAAAGACACTCTCTGAGAACTGGAGACTTGGCGGATAGTATGATTGACAAAACGGCCGACAAAACTCATCAACTAACCTTGTATGTTACTACCGATACATGTAGCCTTTCGCCTAGTGGTATCAATTAGACCGATCTCATTTTTTGTAGAATGTGAAGCAGAATTTTATAAGGCATTGCCAACATCCAAGGGCGATTATCGGATTTTCCTTATTTCTATTGACACTTCTTTATCCAGCTGTCTTGAGAACACTGAACAGGTCTACATGTCATCCTATATTCCTGGTTCATCAGATCGTTAAACCACATATGATCTTATAGATCTACTACCTTAATCGAACAATGCTTTTTATGTAGATGTCTTGTTTTGCAAATGACATTTTATACAGTTTATTTATAGCATTTTTCAGCAATTGCCTTGAGCATCATGCCATGTTGAGTGTAATATTTTATCAGTGATATGGGTTTTTGGACGCTTAAAAACATTCATAGTTCTCTCACTAATCACAAGAACAACTGTAAAACATTTCATTCCCTTATAAAAGACAACTTTATTTAAAAAACAAGCCAACATCTGGGTATTTACAATGTCTTTGTGACGCCACACTCCTGGTTATAGGGCGAATAATCACGATAAACATGGCTGTCCAAAAACGTATGATGTCTGAAAACCTATGATCCAATGATAATTATTGTTGATTATAGCCAAGACTAGTTGATTTAATTGGCCAACACTTGACCATGCATGTTCACTGGCATGGGAGCTATGACAAATAATAACGATAATTAGTGCTTTTTGTCAAGTGATCAGCATCCGATTTGTTACCTTTATGTGTCTACGCAGTAGCATTTTCTCAGTTAAACTAGAAACTTGATAATAGGGATGGGTATTGGATGTTTAAAGTGTATCACAATGTCTTACAATGCACAAGGCCGTATTGCGATGAATATCACAATATATTCCACAATTCAAAGTTTTGAATTCAGAAGCAGTTTGAAACATCAACGCAGGAACCGAAGTTCCTAGATGGTGTAAGACAAATGGTTGGAACAGCATAATGTTTACTCATTCAATACATCATGATACATACGCAAGGATGCACACTCCGGTACAGTAATGACTTGGTGTTACAACACTGCAACACAAGAACTCAATTTTGAAATTACGGAAATGTTTTGAAGGCACATGTATTGGGCAAGTGTATAACATTAAAAACATGATAAAAATTGCTTTTTGAATTCACACAATATACCAAGCATTAAAACAAGACATTGTGATGTATCAGGGAAAGAGTAAACCTCAATATACCAATATACCTGTAAAACCATGCACCCTTACTTTCCTCAAATTAAATTGGATTAATTCTTTATAAACATGATAAAAGATAGCTGACCCATAATTTATTTCACAACTAACCCTAACTTGGCTAAGTATTGTCAAGAGGTGTTTGATTGTCCAGTAGTGCACAAACCTAAGGATTGTGAAGGATTGTTTGATCGTAAAGGGGTACCTAGCCTTAATGATCGTAAAGGGGTGCTTGATCAGAAAGGGGATCCAATAGAGTTTGGGGTAACCTACTCAACAAACCCTAAGGATTGAAGAGGCATGCGAAATCGGCGAAGCAAGAGCTACAGCTGGCATTGTGAGCCTAATTGAGCGCTATATATAAGCATTATTGCCAAAATAAATCAACATGATCAAGCATGTCAAAACCCACAATGGTAGGATGAATAATAATTATTTGATTGCAAAATGGAAATTAACATAATCATGATGATCTACCAACCTAATCTTTTAAAACCTTTTTCATCTTTTGTCAAAAGATATTTTTCATCTCATCCCTACAGATTGAAGAAGCAGTTAGCCTCGTGAATCAGATGCCAGAAAACATGAGACAAGATGTCTGGCAGTTCTGGCAGAAGGTGTCCACAGCTATCAAAGCGGCAACCATTGGAATCAAGAAACGGAAACCTGTTCCAGGTGGAAAGGATCTGGCACCGCGACCAAGGAAAAGTAGTAAGACGAAGATGAAAGAAATTGCTGCATTAGCAGACAAAAGTGATGAAGAAGTTGTGGAGGAGTTTGTGTTGGACTCCCAAGCCATCACAAACACAACACTGACTTCTGATCTGCCCACAGAACATGCTTACAGTCATGACACATTTGCACAAGATCTGAAGCTGTTGTACAATTCTGTGTATTCTGCCGAGACCTCTGACGCTGTGGCAGCCATGATAGCAATCAATGACCCTAGTTCTGTTAGTAATGTTGAAGGCAACAGAGTCCCAGAAAACCATCCAGGTTTGGAGGGTAGGACAGATATACAATCTCAAGAACCTGGGTCCATTAATATTGTTGTGCAAGATTTTGTTGATGATCAGGTAATCACTTCATTAGTGACAATAGATAATCCCAACACACCCCTCAAAAAACCGCCTCCGAAACCTAGTCCTAAAAAGAAACCTGCTAAAAAGACTGGTGTAAAAAGAAAACCTAAAAAGAAGAAACTGAAGGAGGATAGTTTAGAAATCTCAGAACAGACTGTCTCCGAAGCGACTGATCCAGAAAAGACAAGTCCAAAGAAGACTCCGAGGAAAAAGAAAGTAACAAAAAAGAAATCAGAACCTACTTCTGAAGATGCTATATCCAAATTACTAGCTGAAAACATGGAGCTACCCGAAACTGAAAATGTTGGTGCTCAACCAGAAGCAGAAGGTGTCAGTCCCGAGGTTGGGGAAACTCCACTTGCAGAGAACAAATCGGCTAACAAAAAGTCAGAGAAAAGGCCAAGGCGATCTAGTCGACCGCCCAAACCTAAAAAGCTCCCAAAAGACCAACAGGAGATTGATGGGGCTCTTGAAGGGGAGGGGGACGGGGAGGGGCGGAAGCGCCGTGTGTACAAACCAGGGGAGCCTAAACCTGATCTGGGTCCAGTCAACTGTAAGGTGTGTGGGGTGCAGCTCGCCTATCTGTCCTCCCTAGCAGGTGAGTGCATTGTTCAGTTTCATTTTAAGTTTACAATAAATGAAATATTCGATTTTCATCCAATTCACAAAATGTGAGGCAGGAGGTATTTCGTTTTATTATAATGAAAGTTACAGTTTTTTAAGTGAATGCTCAAGGCATCTGTGTACATTAAACATGATAAATGTTGAGGATGTGATTCATCTGAAACATCAAGGTTTGGTGGGACTATGTATCAGTATCAGTACATTGGGTACTGGTATATCATCGAGTCAGGAAAGAACACACTGCAGTTTTCTTCGTCCATAGGCTTGATAGGTACTCTTGAGGACAACTGAAGGAGGTAAGGCAGGATGTTTTGGGTAATGAGGCACAGGATGAAGATTTAGACATTTGTAATGACCTAAAGTATTGTTTTTATCCAATCAACTTCACTACGTAAATTTGAACAGATCAAATGGTGTAACCCATTTAAAACAAATGTATTTCTAAGATTTGGCAGATATATCAAACAGATCCTGAAGTGGTACCTTTTGTGATTTGCTGATTTGTTGCATCTTTATTTTTCTTGATTTCCATGGAAACAATTTCGACTGTCATTTCTGGAGCAGAACTAAAGAAACTATTAAACAGTTTTCATCCAAACTCGGTACATGTTATACAAATGTATTAATAATCAAGGGCTGAAGTGGTGCCTTTTGCTATTTTGGAATTTTAACAAAATTAAAAATGTTCATGTTTCATTGGCAACAAGTTTGACTTGGACAGTGTTTATCAATGTTTATCATTGTTTATAGTGGTGTGTTTGTCCGGACAAAATCTCTAAACATGCTAAAACAAATGGTATTCTTTCATGACACTTTGCACAAGCAAAGACCAGGTTGTCAATTTGTGCCTTTTGCTACTTAGGGATTTTTAGAATTTATATTTTTACCGCTTCCATGGCAACAAGTTTGACCTAGACTCTGTTCACAGTTATGTGTTTGTCCGGACCATATCTGTAAAACTAATAGGTACTCTTTCTTGAAAGTGTGCACACACAAAGACCAGGTTGTCATCTGGTGCCTTATGCTATTTTGGGATTTTTTAAAATTTATATTTTTTTCTGTTTCCATGGCAACAAGTTTGATTTTGACTCTGTTGATAGTGGTGTGTACCTGACATAGAAATACATAGTTTTGAATCCGAATTCCATGGTATTGTTCTCATCAAGTTGGACTTAAAGTAACAGTCAGATGACTGTTCTTTTGAATTTGTTGGGGCCTGGGGAGGTTTGTCATCTTCTGATGAAGCTTGTTCATTGCAGCAGAGGATGTGTGATGTGTGATGCCTGTAAATAAAGATGTGTAAAGAACTACAGGTATCAAGGGTGGATCCAGCATTTTTTTAAAGGGAGGGGTTCAGAATATCAAACTCCTCTCTCAGTCCACTTTACTGCCTACATCATACTACATTTGGTTTAAAAAGGGAGGGAGAGGAGGGTGTGTGTTCTGGACCCCCTGGACCATGTGGACCCCCTTCTTGATCCACCTAGGAGTATGCAAGTTAAAAGAGATACATTCATGGGTAATTATTCAGAGTGGTGTTATCATGGTTATATGACAGAGTTTTACAATGTCTCATGGGTATTTGTACATGTTGTAGGCAATCGGCTCAAGATTATTTTGGTAATCAGTGGTAATTGTGATTTATTTTGCGTATCTTACGCAAATACGCAGCTTACCTGGAGCTCTTATTATTGTACCATGCTATTTATTTTCTCTCCAGCTCACATGCGGAAGCATACAGGTGATCGACCATTTAGCTGTGGTGTCTGCAACAAGCCATTCACCACCAAGGCGAACATGTTGCGACATGAGAAGACCCATTCCGGTGAGAAGCCATTCGAGTGTGAGGAGTGCCACAAGTGTTTCACTGAGAAGAAGACCCTCAAGGTTCACATGAGGAGTCACACCGGGGAGAGGCCCTTCAAGTGAGTGGACAGCAGGCTGACTTCGGTTTATCATGAAATCGCCTTTCATGTCTATGGTGGTCACTCCAACCTAAACGTTCATTTGTTCTATCATGTCATTGCTATAGACTGACCCCTCAAGAGGTAACCCTTTTTTTTGTTTCAGAATTATGGGTGTTATTCAGTATTTGATTAATGCCTGGAGACCCGTGAAGATCCGGGGTAGAATAGGTCTACAGCAACCCATGCTTACCGTAAAAGGCGACTATGCTTGTCGTAAGAGGTGACTAACGGGATCTGGTGGTCAGGCTCGCTGACTTGGTTGATGCATGTCATCGTATCCCAATTGCGTGGATCGATGCTCATGATGTCAATCACTGGATTGTCTGGTCCACACTCGATTAATTACAGACCGCCGTCGTATGGCTGGAATATTTCTGAGTGAGGCATTAAACAACAAACCAACAATCAAACAAATGATGCCAGGAAATTTGTTTGGAACCAAGTTCAACCAACAGCGTTAGTTGGAGGTTTAAGATTTTACAATTTTCAATAACCCCTGTAAATCTGAAAACACAATGTTTTTGGATATTGTAAAACACCAAAGTTGTCCATAATTGTCTGTAGCACTCTGTCTATGTGAACGCTCAGTGAGCCTCCCAGTTGTAACACAGACATGGTGTAAGACAGACATCATGTGAGACCCAAGCTGATGTCACCCTGGGATGGTGTGATGTGATGATACAATGGATGAAGTCCTATACTTCTGTGGGGGGCACAGGTGGCCCAGTCGTCTAAAGCGCCGCGATTCGCTGTGCAGAGTTGCGTCCCTTGGGCACGCCAGAAACCTATGATTGTGGGTTCAAATCCCAGTTCGCCCCAGTTATGTTTCTAGGTTTGTTAGCACCATACCCGTGCTCGTTGGTTTCACCAAAGTGGTAAACGTCAGAGACCTGCATCACTTCGGGCTTTCCTCCCACATTAAGCTGACATGCCTTGCTATAACTAGAATACTGTTAAAAGCGGCGTTAAACCCAACTCACTCACTCACTATCCTTCTGTGACAACCGAACCTGCCAGGTTATCAGAATGTGGAGAAAACAACTTGAAGTTTTAGGGGATAAGTTGATTTAAAAATTACTTTGTCACTGTTGAGGAAACAGTAAATTCTTGTTAAGCAGACTATATTTGATGTCCAGTTTGATTACCAAATTCAACATTTTCAGGATAATAACAATATTCCAATGACATTAGCATGATAAGGGATGACGAAGATGGGGATGAGGCTGCCTGTCTCTGTTACTTGTCTCTTGATTGAGATTCAGTTATTATAATGATTTACAGACACTCATAAAAAAGTTTGAATATTGCTTGTTGTTGCATAATACAAACACAAAATCTTTATTCTAGTTTGGGGGCTATTGTTTATATATTTGCTTGTGTTACCAGATGCCCTGAGTGTAGCATGGCGTTCACGCAGAGCGGCACCCTGAAGACTCACATGCACCGCCACAGCGGCCACAAGGGCAACCTCTGTGACTTGTGCGGTCGGGCGTTCCGCCAGAAATCTCAGCTCAGGATTCATCTGAGAAGACACTTTAACCTCAAGTCCTATCAGTGTGACAAGTGTGAACAGACGTTCTATTGTAAAGGTAATCCCCCTGAAGGGACATCCAGTGAGGGGAGGAGGATGGTGATGATCATCAATATTGATCCGTACTTTTGGTTTCTAACAGTAGCATTACCATATTCACCGTATTAAGTGCCTCTTGACTAACTTCTAGATCAGTCTGTAAGTAATATTTATTAAGAATTCTTAACTTACAGTTTATGGTTGTAATAAACAACCACCTTTGTCAATTTTCTAACCACATGGTGCGCTTATTATGGCAAATATGGTAGGTTGAAAAAACATCCGATCCTGAAGAAATGACTTTCAGAAATTGGTGAAAGAGATTTCCTTTTAACATGTTTAAGCATTTTGGGGTATGAGAAAAATCTGCAAGTCAAAGTTACTGTGATCATGTTCTTATTTATCATACTGTGACTATTAGAAGCACACAACTCGGATATCCTCAAATACTATACCCATGAGCTTCAGGTGAAGTCTTGCTGAAAGTGAGCTGGAGACAACAAACACAGTCAAAATGTCAATGTAACTGTACATTTTCATATGAAAGGTTACTTGACCTCATTAGGTCCCATCTACAGAGTTACATACTTAAAAAAAAATAAATTAAATGGCTAAAACATGATGAACAAATCATTAAAACAAATAATTTTGAGGTTCTGAGTGCATATTCAACTCTCTCCACTTGCTGTGTTGCAGGTGACCTGACCCGGCATGAGCTGCGTCACACGGGAGAGCGGCCGTTCGCATGTGCACAGTGCCCTAAAACATTCACTCGCCTTCAGTACCTCAAGGAGCACGAGAACCAGCACAACGGCGTGACCCCTTACAGCTGCGACATCTGCTCCATCAAGTTCTCCGACCACTCCTCCTACTACAGACACTTGCAGAAACACAAGAAAACCACGACAGACGCCTCCACCGAGGACCAGGTGCACCTAGTGGTGGACAGTGAAGCCATAGAGAGCGAGACTGTGGACAGCGTGCCTGCCTTGCTGGTGACGGCCGACCACATCCAGCACTTGTTTGGAGTCAACAGCTCCGGCCAGGGCGAGGTGTACCGTATTGCCTTGGTAGATCAGACGATGGACGAGGAGCACCAGGTTCAGGATCCTGGGCAGGCGGATTTCTCCGCCATCAACCTCCTGGCCAATGCTACGACACAACTGTCAATGACACAGGATGCAGACTCAGAGTTGAAGCAGATATCTCTTCCCCAGTTGTTGAACTGATGGTATAAGGTTTAGGCTGTTCACATCACCATTACTTCACAGGCTTGAGTGCACTATGTTTCTCTGTTACCCATAAGGCTGCAGGTTGTAAAGTTTCCTGGGCACATTTTGCTACAAAGTGAGGAGGGGAGTGGGACTTTATCTTTTTTTTCTCATTGAAGACAAAAGTTATGGGAGAGAAACACTTCTTTTTTTTCCAACATATTAACAATAAACAACTGGGCACACATCGTGTTGTCAGGTGGAATCTTGCAATACATCGATACATCAGTGAATTGTGAGGCTTCTGTGTTGTGTATGTCACTTATTTTATGGACAAATCAAGCCACAGCCTGCGTCCAGTGAAAAGGGTGGCAGTGAGTGATTTGATCTCGCCAGTGGACATATCAATTGAACACAAAGTTGACAAAAAATTGACATTTTGGTAAAGACCCTTATACAGATGTCAAGCAAAGACAACACTTTGCTTGACAATGGTGTAAGGATCTATACCAAAACAGTCGCCTTCACACTAAATAAAGAAGTTATCCATATATTGTGTCTACTTTGTCATCAATCAACTCTCGTTGCTATATGGCTGAAACAATGCTGATGCAACGTTAAAAATTTTAACTCACAGGACAACTCAAACTGACATTAAGAATCTGAAAAGAAAGATATCTCTTAAAGTATTAGAACCAGAGGGGAATATAACCTTCCTTCTGGTAGCATTGGCAGTGGAAGAATTTTTAGAGTTTGTGCATTTAGAGCTGATTTGACTTCTGTTGTACACAGCTTTCTTTAATTAACTGATTAACAATAGACCCACACCTCCTCTACTCCACATAGCCTTCCAATGATGGGTGATGAAGAAGGGTAGTGTATGCAAGCCTGTGACGTATCAATGATCAGCTGTTTTTTACCCCAGATGTTTGAACTGATGGTCAAGGTTTTTAAACTGTTCATGCCATCAAGGTTTTATAGTCAAACGCCCTTAGATAAGTTGAGAGCTGAATATGTTCCTGCGACCTTATCTTTGTCACAGGAACCATTTAGTTTGAAGATCCTGTGGTAACCTGGTTGACTGTGTCATTGCTTTGATTGTTGCTCATGCAATCAGCCACTGGTTTTCCTGGCCTTGACTTACCTGCTGCCTGTAATAGCTGGAATGTCATGTCTGCATCATAAAACAATATTCACTCAATCACCCTTAAACCAGGGGCACGCCAGAAACCTATGATTGTGGGTTCGAATCCGATTTGCCCCGATTATGTTTCTAGGTTTGTCAGCACCATACCCGTGCTCGTGGGTTTCACCCAAGTGGTAAATGTCTAAGACCTGCATCACTTCGGGCTTTCCTCCCACATAAACATGATAAAGCTGACACGCCTTGATATAACTGGAATACTGTTAAAAGTGGCGTTAAACCCAACTCACTCACTAGAACGAGGATTGGGTGTTCACAATGTGTTCCCTTGTTTATCCTCATCTCACCTGACGGTGTTGCTCATTGCTGTTGCTTTCACCCTCAGGATTGCCTTGTGAGAATTAATTAGTTACAGGCCATCGTCATCACAGTCTTGTCTTTTCCAGCTTGAACAGTGCTGACTGGTGTGAAACAATATTCACTCACTCACTCTGCTATTACGGTGGAGCACCTTTGTAGGTTTACCGTTGTTTGTTAATTGAAAATCTGGGCCTGACATTTCCTTTACATTTATTAGAAGAGCACCAGATAATTTATTTAACAATTGAGTATTTACCTTGTCTTCTCACATTTAGAATATATCGATATTTTCTTTCTTTTCTTTGGGTCATCAGTACAATTTGACTTCCAGTCCAATCCATTGGGTATTTTTTAACCAAAGAGTAGAAAACAATTCTGCTTAAAATTTTGTTTCAGCTGTCTAGAAAACAGCATATACTGTAAATCTGGAAAGTTTTGTGTGCTGGAAAGTTCTGCGAAAACTGTAAGTGACAACACACGCGTGATTGTTTCATGACACAGTTATGTTTGCAAACCAACAACAAACAAATAGTGTAAGGACAAAAATGTAATGTATATTTCTTTTATTCATTTCCACATTGCCAATCAGCTAGTACATGATTAAATGAATAACCCTCACATCCTGTTCCTTAACTATTAAATGTTAAGCCTAATCAAGACAGTTCACTTTATACCTGCTGCATCTCATCAAGCTGCCTACATGACACTGAGTAGTCCCGACATATGCCAGACTTATTACATTACTGCTAGATAAACACGCTACTCCAAACTTCCTTGTCAACTACAACCACACATGTGTGAAATCTTATAATATCTAGTTATTGGAGGAAGTGAATTCCAAACTTTATGCAGCACTTAGAAATGTCTTTAATTTGAAACTCCACAATTCCCATATGGCATATATCATAGTCATCTGGTTCAACTCTGACCTGGTAACACATAGCTTCAATGTCTGCCATCACAGCTCTTGGCGAAATCTCAGGAGCACTCCCAGTAAGGTATTGGTTAGATCCAGCCCCTGTTGAAAGTGGTCATTTGGAGACTTTCCTCTAAGGCTTGCTGCACAGTCAAATGCAACTTTCATCTTCCCTGGCTTTTGTGGATGATCATGGATACTTTTCTTCCAGACACAACAAAGGGCTTTGACTTGTAAGGAATCTTTGAATTTAAGATGCTGGTGTCTTTGACTAGAACAGGCTCACCAACTTTCAGATCACTTGGTTTGACATAGTTCTTGCTATCTGCATACTCACGCATTTTGTTCTTCATCTGTTCATCTCGAACCCTCATTTCTCTCATCTGCAGGTCTCAGGTAACAATGTCTTGACGATACGATTGAACATCACCTTTCCTGGTGCGAGGCCTGTGGATGTGTGAGGGGTAGCTCAATAAGCTAGAAGAAACTTGTACATTTCTTGTTTCCAGTTTAGGTTTTGTGCAAAGGCGCGTTTGATGGTTTTCTTGATTGTTCTCATGAAACTTTGTGTTTCAGCATTTGCACGAGGCCACATGGGGGTGATTTTTCTGTGTTTGAATCCTTTCTCCTCTCCTTTGCAAACTCGTAACTGGAGAAGGGCAGTCCATTGTCTGTCTTCAAGACTTTGGGGATGCCGTATTCAGAGAACACTCGCTCGAATTGAGGTACATGTATGACACTTCTCGCTGATATTGATGTCAGAATTTCAACTACAACAAACCTTGAATACCCATCTGTTATGACAAGGATGTAGTCACCTGTTGGTATCTGTCCAAAGACTGCGCTTAACTCTGACCATGGATGTTCTGGTAACGGTGACACTTGTAGTGGTTCACGTGGTGTTGTCAGTGTTGCAATCTGGCACAAGAAACATCTGTTCACAGTGTGTTCAACTGCTGATCACATGCCGTAGAACCATATTAGCACCATATAGCACTTATGTGAAGAAACAATAATCAGTATCTAAAACAGATAAACATTCATGATGTCTGTTATCATAGTATTATTGAATCTTCTCAATTACTATAAGAATGCATTACTAAGAAAACAGTATTCTTAACAGAAATGTATTTTAACTCGTAATGCTTTCTCACTTAACACTTCAGTATTAATACAAATTATTCAAATTCAAACAAAATAACATCAACCAAGTATCAATATCATATAACATTGATTCAAGAAATAAGCTAACATTGTAATCTGTCTGCAAAATTGAGTATAACTCTTTAAGAATATAAATTCTCCTATCACTTTAAATGCAAATACAGTCTTAAAGCTTATCCAACTGTGATGTTCTGAGGATGACAGACTTGGGAATTGATTCTACGGCTTTACTGAATACCCTGTACTTGTGTACATGCCGCCATGCGGTGCCTATTTCCCAAGATGCCTTGCGGCAAGGGAGCTGTTATAGAGTTCCTGCTAGGGAGCATTAATTTACAAAGCTTGCACACAGATGGTACGACTACATTACACAATGGTACACTACTCCCCCTTAAAAAGTGAGCAATTAGAAATACTTATCATGCTTTATCGCAAAACTTTAATGTCCAGATGACTAGAGTCACTTCAAATTGCACCATACTGCTTGGCAATAGTCACGACTTAAATTAAGCCAATTAAATGAAGTTCATGAAACATGTGAACTGGTAATTTAACACTGAACTTGAAAATATCATAGAATTGAACTGTCAACTTTTTGGCACTGTGGAATGTCCATTAGGTGGACACAAAGAAATGTCTATAGATCAAGTCTGTTAGGAGCTTTGGATACTCTCGTTGATCTTCGGAGCTGTGGTTCCCGTAGTTGTGAAGTTTCCGGGGCACTCTGTTATTCTGTGTTCTCATCGGGCGTGATGTTGATTGATGGCGAAGGATCTTTCGCGACTGAGAGGTCATCTGGTGTTTCAGGTACAACCATGTCATGTGTGGTTTGACAAGGTTTCAGGTGATCCAGGTGACGGCGAACGGTACATCTGTCTGGAAGTTGTATGCTGCACTGAGAGCTTGACTGATTCACTATTTTGCCTGGAATCCAACGATCACCTCTGCCAAAGTTAGCAATATACGCATTATTGCCAACAGCAAATGACTTGGCTCGAGTATGCGAATCATGGTGATCCTTCTGTTTCACTTGCTCTTTGAGAACTTTCTTTGATTCGTCTGGATGCAGGAGGTCGAGATGTGTTCTCAACTTTCTACCCATCAGGAGCTCTGCGGGTGATTTCCTGGTGGTGGAGTGTGGCATCACTCTGTATCTGAACAGGCAATGAGCCACTTTAGATTCAATGGTTTTCCCTACGTTCTTCTTCATGCTTTCTTTGAAGGTTTGGACGGAGGGTTCAGCAAGTCCAGTTGAACCAGGGTGGTAAGGTGGAGTAAGTACATGTTCAACTCCATCGGTTGTTAGGAAGTGCTTGAACTCATGACTTGTAAAAGAACTTCCATTGTCGGAGACAACTGTCACTGGTAAACCATGTGTGGAAAAGGTCTTCTCTAGCTTTTCTACAGCAAATGAAAAGAATAAATATCCTGAATATAAAGCATATTGGAATATTGATTGTATTGTATAGACATTGATGTAATATGGGAACAATTTGAAGATATTAATAAAAACTTGTGGTAATTATATGATAACATTGCACGTAAATGTTTGACACAACATGTTTAATACTGAACTATATTGCATATTTGGCACATACATCATCCGTTGCACAGAAGTGTTTACCATGAACATGATATTACCCTTGTAGTGACATTAGTATTGAACAATATTGCATGGTTTGCACTTACTTGTTGAAGCAAGAACAGGTCGTACTTTTAAGAAGAGTTGGTAACATATCCTACTAAAAGCAAAAGTAAATAATAGAAAACATCCTTCCAGGTTGGGTAGAGGTGGGGGAGGGAAAGTGCACGAGTTCTGACAGAGAGACAATGGCTACTATTTACTTTGCATGTGCTGACAACTCTGACATGCTGGAAAAATTATTAAAACAATAATATTATTTGCTACGCAATATGTCATCGGTTATTTTCTTTAAAGCATACCCAAGACATATATTACAAATGAATCATTATCTTAGAAAATTCCATAGTATCTGTGGTAAGAATACCTACGACTGCCATGCTTGACCTCCTGTCACTCGGCCGTATACCATACCGATGCTTTCATAAACACTCTTAATTCTCCTGAATTAAGAATAAGGTTAAATGAAACTGTTTCTCTTGTATTGCAACTTTTGAATCAATTCCCTGAGGTTCATTGGATGCTCTAATTCTCTTAGATACTCTATATCTGTCATGGTATTTGCGCAGCTGGTCAGGAATATGGAAAAGCTGTTCACTGCTTCTGTGTCAGGTGTGCTTATTTCAAGGCTTTGGCCATGTAAACTGTTGCAAGCTTGTATTTGTTCCAAATTTCTTATCTAACAGTGATCTGGCTTGTTAATTCCATTTTCAGGCTCCATGTGAATACAACTTCTGGTCAGGAATATGGAAAAGCTGTTCAGTACTTCTCTGTCCTCTGACTTAATAGCTGGCCATGTCAATGCTTTATCCATGTAAACTGTTGCAAGCTTGTATTTGTTCCCAAATTTCTTATCCAGCAGTGACCTAGCTTGTTCATAGCCACTTTCAGGATTCATGAAAATACAACTTCTTACTAAGTCATTCGGTTCACCGTTGGTGTACTGATCCAAGTAATAGAGCCTATCCTTGGGATTGATGGTTTTGTCTTCTATACCATGCTCGGATGCTCCTATGAAAGACTTACACTGTAGGGGGTCGCCACTGAACACAGGTATCTTCCTAG